AATGGTTAGCACACTCGGCGCGTATTCGAGATGTCCGTGGTTCGAGTCCCGGCGAGGGGCTTTAAAAAAATCCTAATATCTCCACAGTGGCGCCCGAAATGAAAGGATGTGGCTGGATGTTCATTCTTCACCACCGAATTTGGTGATTGGGTCCCTTAATCCTCAGTTGTCCTTTAAAAGGGGAAGTATATAAGGTAGTTTCTCCCTTCCTTCTGCATGCCATCATCTGTAAAGTTTCTAATTCTTAGGACTAAAGCACTTAGGATTCTTAGGACTTTTTAAATTCTTACGGACTTTAAAAAATAATATTTGGTAGGACATTAGACATCGAAACTGACGATTGCATGCATCATCGTTTTACTTTAAACATCATAATTTTATCAAAGCGATTTCTTATGATCAGATGGCACTGAGTTTCGAACATTTTATCCTTGGTATTTACTTCAGTTCAAGGGAACAATTTTTCATTTCAAAGATCTAAATGTTTCACATAAAGCCTGAAAAAATATGAAGGAATAAACCTTAATACCCAGAGAATTTGACAATTTTATTAATTCAAAATAAACCTAATTTTTCAGACATCACGAAATTTTCGACTGCTTCGAGAGTCAATAATCGGGTATATTTTTAGCCCAAAGGAAGAATTTGCCGAGAAAGGTTATTAATTTTTTTTTTTTTTTTTTTTTTCATTTTGCGAAGGTTCACTATAAATGTAGATACACTTTTGAAATTCTTGTCACCAAATATTAGAGCCCTGCGTTATATTTAAAGAAATTAAATAATTAAAAATCTGCATGAATGTATGTATGTTTCTCACATTGTGATAAAAAGATGGTACCTATAAAGACATCAAATTTTGAATAACGTAGTCCTCCATTCCCATATGAGTATCTGGAAGTCTAAATTTGGAATTTGCGTTATTATCTATTTCATATTTTGTCAAACATTAAGGAATTTTGGATTAACAAACTCAACGATTTCAAAGCGAGCAATAGAACACTGTACGGGAAAAAAAAAAAAAAAAAAATTCTCCAGCGTGCGAGACTCTGTATCGGAAATTCTAAAGATATGCTTTTTTCAATATTTTGTGATACTGCTGTTGAATTGAATTTTATGGTTTAAGTGCGAAGAACATTATATTTAATTAGTAAGGGTAACACACAAAACGTTAAAAAAACTCCCCTTCAGGCGTATTATAAAATCTGAAAACTTTCAGATTTTTAATTTTTTTTTAAATTTGAAAGTTTTTATGGCAAAAAGTTATGAAAGTTTTTATGGCAGTGTAAGAATTTAGAGCAAACAAAGAGACCTTTAAGCATAAAATCCAGCTTTGGGTACTTCAATGGTGTAGGTAAGTACTTCAAAAACTAATTACTTCTGAAATGGGACGTGCTGCAAAAGTACAGTCACCCGAATTAAAAAAAACGATTAAAAGGCAATAACTTTTTCTTGGAAAGGCAGAGAAATTCTGTAAATGCTGTTGGCGTCACATATGCGTAGATAATTCGATATAGTGCAACAATATTTTATCGGCTTCTTCTCAGCTCGCAAAACATATACCTCGCGATTCAGCACACGTGACGTCACTGTTCTCAACCTCTGTTTAATTACCCGATTCTTATTTTTGCACACGTCATTAAATACGAAGGGCAATATGATAAATGTCCAGAACGAATCTCAGATATGTTGGGGGGGTGATATTTCTCTTGTAGTTATTGTTAATAAAGCTTTTGCGCCCCCTTTCCCTATTCATTCCTTTCATATTCCTCACAGGGGTTCGGACTGATTTTGTACGGTTTCACATTCCACAATGGCAACGATATTGGTCCTATCGATATCACAAGTGTGATTTATGATTCTCATCAAATGGCTATTGCGGTAGGAGCTCGCGAAAGGGCGTTTTAGTGGAGGATATGACACGGTTGTTTCGTGGTTTTAGGGATGTTGATTCAGGTGGTCATGAAATTTTTCTGAATGTATCCTGAGCGGTAGTTCGCAGATGTAACTGCGTAACTTCTGTGTGTTTAATGTCGTTTTTTTCATATTGTTTCACATTTTGTCGAAAGGGAGATCCAGATGAAAATATGTATGATGAAACGTGATTATAAGGGTTACCTAGGCGGTCTGTTGCCTAGAATGTCCCAAATTAAAAGTCATCTGACAATATAGACAATCTCGCATTTTTCCTTCATAGGGTCAGTTTCAGTATACAGTAAGACCCCGCTTAACGCGGGGGATACGTTCCATCAAAGTAGAGCGTTATGCGAAACAGCGCTAAACGAGGCTATCTTTACATGTAAATATTGGGGTTAGGGGAAGATGGCTAGGAAATTGGTTAGGTATTAAATTTAAAAAGTATGTTTTTTTAATAAAAATAAAACCAAACATTTATTTCTTAGAGCCCAAATTAATACCACATTATTATTTCTTGCAAAAATAAAAATAAAATATAAATAACAAAACGAATATTCTTAAAAAAAAAAACAAATAAAATTCTCAGTCAGTCATATTTAGTTAGCCTTCCGCCTTCCGCGTTTCAGTGTTCTGCCTTTTTGTGACAAAAGCATCTAATGTTGTTGCCTTTTTCTTTGCGTTGTTCTCTTAAAAGTTCTTCATAAGCGGATAGAGCATCTCTAACACCACACGCTTACTTTTGAGCTCCTGTCAAAATTCGGATCATTTTCAATGAATTGATCCATTATTTCAGTTATAGTAGACAAACTCCTTTTTACAAACGCCATCGAAAGTTCTTTTTGCTCTTCTTCTGAATCACTGCTGTCAACATTTTTGTTTTCTTCTTGTTCAGTTAATTCCTTGAGCTCATCATTAGAAAGACTAGCCGCTGCTTCTTGAATTATTTCTTCGACATCTTCCACATTTACCCCTTCAAAATATGTCTGTACATACCGCACCAACAAGAAATACAAGTACATTCTTTCGGATATGTATTTGAACCTATCGCTGCATAATATTTCGGGGAATCCCCGTGTGCTGCGAGCGATTTCGTGAAATCCCCGGGTTGAAATAAAAGAGCGCTAAACCGAAACAGCGCTAAACGAAACAGCGTTTAGCGGGGTCTTACTGTATATTATAAGTGAAATCTCGTGGAGTCATCATATATCCACGTGAATTACATATCCGCAATTCAGTATATATTCCCGTGAACTATCAGTTCCATTTATCAGAAGAATCCTGTTTTTTTATCCTAAGGAGGTATCTGTTTAAATTTCAGATTCTACCAAGGAATTGCATTAAATTAGTATTTGTTGTTAGTAACTTGTCTGACCTATAATCAACCCAAATACGCTTTGTAACAGCCTTGAGTAAATTACAGGTGACAGTGCGATTTAACTCAGTTCCGCCCCAATTTTATGGACAGCACCCCGCGGAAGCGTGTCCGAGGGTCTTCTACCCCCTTCCCTTACCACCAACCTCTCGAGAGGAGTTTTGGCTCGCCCCGTATTTAGAATGCCCCCATGCCGCATGGACACTATACATTTACAAGCATCCATGCCTTGGTACGCTAACCACTATAGCAGTTGGGCGGCCTATTAAATTAGTGAAACTGAAATAATCTCTTTGCCAATTGTTGCTCTACCTCGAAACCACTATTGATCCCGCTCCCTTTTCTTGGCCTCTTTTATTGTAAAAAAGAGATGATGACAGCAGGGTGATCAAACTAAAAAAAAAAACATGGTTTTAATTTAGTTCTCAGAATCCGGGATTTGCTACTTGTTCGAAACGAATCACCTGAATGAATAAGGATTTAAGTGACAATTCTATTAGATACTCGCAAAAATACCTTTGTAGAGATATTTGGACCTTTTTTTTTTTTTTTTTTTTTTTTTTTTTTTTTTGTTTTTTTTTTTTTTTTTTTTTTTTTTTTTTTTTTTTTTTTTTTTTTTTTTTTTTTTTTTTTTTTTTTTTTTTTTTTTTTTTTTTTTTTTTTTTTTTTTTATTTTTTTTTTTTTTTTTTTTTTTTTTTTTTTTTTTTTTTTTTTGTTTTTTTTTTTTTTTTTTTATTTTTTTTTTTTTTTTTTTTTTTCCGTTTTTTGAAGCAGGAAGCACGAATAATGAGCAGTGCTCTCGCCAGGACTCGAACCACGGAGCTCTCAAATATGCGGCGAGTGTGCTAGCCGCTGCACCCCGAAGGCATTCGGTAATTGAATATTTTTCTTTTAATTGGAATTTTTGAATTTGAAATGAAGAAACTAAAGCGCTTAAAAATATCTTCATCGTAATTTAATCAATGCTGCTATTAAATAACGTTAAAATCTAATTGTGTTTCAAATAAATAAATGGTGTACAAATAAATGTTGTATTTTATAATTTTATTTGAAGATTTTTAGCCCAAAGGAGCGTTAGCTCAGAAGGGCTATTAATTTAGTTTTGACATTTTGCTTCGATTTATTATAAACGGCGAATCACTTTTGAAATTGTTGCCACCAAATATTAGAACCCTGTATTATATTTAAAGAAATTAAATAATGAAGAACTTGCATAAATGTATGTATGTATCTCGCATTGTAATAAAACGACGGTACCGAAAGCTATCCAATTCTGAATAACGTAATTCTCCACTCAAATATCGGCATCTGGAAGCCCAGATTTGTAATTTAGAATTTGTTTTATTATTTATTTCATATTTTGTAAAGCATTTATGAGGTTATGATTAAGAAACTGAACAATTTTAAGGCCAGAAATGGCAACACTGTGCGGAGGAAAAAAAAAAACGTGTTTATCTCCAGCGCGCGAGACTGTGTATCGGAGATTCTAAAGACATTCTCTTTTAAATATTTTACGATATTGTTGTTGATTGAATTTTATGGTTTAAGTGCGAAGAACATGATATTTAATAAATAAAGGTAACACACGAAACGTTAAAAAAACGCCCCTTTGGGCGTAATATAAAATCTGAAAGGTTTCAGATTTTTTTTTGTCTTTGTTTGTTTTTTGTTTTTAGACCTGAATTAAAGCAACAGTTTCAAATGAACAAAACCTTTTTTAAAAATATGTTTTATTTTACAATTACGCACAGCGCATTATTTGGCAATATGAACTATCAATATGATTCTGTTATACATTATCCAGTCTTTTAACCCTCTAAGCGGCAAGGCCGTATATGTACGGCCTAGAATATGTTTTGTGATATCTGTAAGAACGTATATATACGTGCATATTACAATATGTCAAAGAAATTAAGGTACACAAATCCAGGTATGTAATACCAGGATAAGTTTTACATTAAAATCAAAAAAATAATTTGTTATCATAGTAGTTTTAGGAAATTTGTGCTTTCTTAGCGAAACCCCTGGCCGCTCAGAGGGTTTTAAAGATTAAGCAGCCAGCTGCTAAATTGTTCTTAACAGTTGAATCTAGAGAATAGTCACTTCAAGTAGCACTGGCAGCTGCTACATTATTCTAATAGTTGAATCTAGAGAATAGTCACTTCAAGTAGCACTATCTGCAGCAGCTGCAGTATTGTTATAATAGTTGAATCTAAAGAACAGTCAATCAAGTAGCACTATCTGCAGTAGCATGCGGACGTGATATTCTATACAATGCTTCTAACCTACCATTAAATGTTCGAGTCAGCAAAGATAAATGAGAAGTTTTGTTACTTAATCTACAGCTATGTTCATACAGTACTGCCGAAGCTATGATAGAACATAAAGTTAAGATTAAAATCAAGCCAACACTTGCACTCATGCTAGCTGGTGACATACATATGCCATAAATGATCTCTTCTCGTCTGCCACGCAAGAGAGTTGTACTTTCGCTTGTAAGGTTAAAATCAAAAGCCAAATCTGATAACGCTATTGCTTGAAATTTTTGCCGCACGCCAAAAACAGGCTCAGACGACCGCTTTCGTCTGTCCAGAGCTCTCGGACCATGAGCGGGTTTTTCATTTATTTGGGGTTGGCTGTCCGTATCACCATTATCAAGCTTTGGCGGGACAAATCCAGAAACTGGTGGTCGTTTTTCTTCTGAGATATTTTGACCAGTTGAAATCAACTGTTCTCTAATTGGTTTTTCCTTCACTGCTGTTGCATTTTCTGTACCGAGTTCGTCCATTGCTGTAGTCGCGAACTCTTCTGGATTATTCCGCAGTGTCGTTAATGTTGGTATTTCACTAAGCATCGATTTAAAAACATCCTCTAAAACTGGTTTAATCCCCGATGAATCGTTTTGAAGCTTCTCACTCTTATTAGGTTCCTTATTCAATTCACTTGTAAATAGGCCTCCAATCTGACGTATTGTTTCAGTGAATACAGGACTTCGACCCTCGGCGATTCCAGAGTTTTCAGTTTCAACATTTTTATGGTTTTCATCAGATGGCATTTCATACTGCAACTCACTTTCATCATCGTCCATTCTACGATCAGCAATGATGCTCATCATCATTTGCTGTCTGGGACTGAATTGTGGTATGGGGTACGGGTAATGCTGCCTGTTTGGTCTTAAAAACCGAGCAGTCGTCTTTTGTGGCCATCTAGCTGTTTGATAAGTAACTGGCAGTAACGTAGGCATCATCATCATCATCATTTTCATCATAGCTGGATTAGACATATTTGGGGAATTATTCCCAGGTGTTGGGATGTATATTGGCTGCGGTGGTGTACTTGGTGTCCTTATACCATAAGGCTGAACCAACTCTTTGTATAAAGGAATTGGTGTTTGGGGCTGAACGGGCATTTTATAATTCAGAGAATGAACCTTTAGATCTTCCTTTGTTAAAGGCTTTACATCATCAAGTGTCCAAGACGAAGGTTCTGGCCTCGGTAAAGGTGGTTTCGTCAAAATGGGTCGTGGTGCAGCAGGATTAATCATTGGATTTACTTCTTCGAATGTCCAAGGTGCTGGTTTTATGGGCACATCTTTATTAGTTAGATGAATATTATGAACCTGGGCATTTTGTTGTACCCTTTCATTTAATTTACCACGATCATGGTACACCTCCTCTTTAATCAGAGGTTTCACATCATCGGCAGACCATGAAGCAGGTTCCGGCTGTGGAGCTGGTGTCAAAATTTCTTTTGGAGTATGAATAATGTGTTTTACATGATGTTCTTCGGTTTTCTTCAGTTCATCAGGGTTCCAGTAAGCATCGTGGCCTATTATCTTACGATGTCCACCAACAAGTATGGGCTGGGGACTGTGAACTTCCTGAGGAGGAGATTTTTGGTTTGCGGGAAGATGCGAAATGAATGTAGCATATAGTTCGGGATTGATGTTGCTTTTCATGGCATCCAAATTTAGATGAAAATCAGGCCCGGGGTTTTGTATATGTTTCGTTTGAATTTGATGTTTCTGTTGCAGTGTGATTTGAGAATCATGTAAAGTTGCTAATCCTGCTGCAGTATGGCTATGTTGATCATTTATTTGTTGTTTACTTACAGGTCTAACATCTTCGCCAGACCAAGATGCCGGTTCTGGTTGCGGAATCTGTTTCGCTACTTCTTTGGAAGGATGTATATAATGTGCTATGTAATGCTCATCAACAGGTGGATGCTGCCCAGAATTCAAATGAGCATCAGAATCAATATTTCTCTCATAACTGGCGGATGAATCCCCTGTATGCTTCCGAAACTCGTGAACGGCATCTTTGTGAATTTCAAGTAAGTGAGAATCAAATTTATTATTATGGTGATCATGAATATTATTTTTTACATTATCAAATACCAAGTGGATAGAGCTAGCTGATGATTCTACTTTCTTTGCTTGCGTGCTGTGTACTTCTTTAGAAGTGCTTTCAGCTTTGTGCAAAGCTTCCGCACTTGTTAAATGCTTTCCGTCAGAAATTTTATGTTTTCCTGGAGAAGATAACTCAAGAGATGCATTATTGAATGAAATGTGATGAACCTGTTTCTGGGAAGCTGCAGCAGTTAAAGATTCTCTATAGCTTTCTTTTATGAGTGACACTGGTACTTTAGTTAGATACGGACCATGTTGCTTGAGAGGAAGATGGGACGAAGGTTGCGAAGGTTTGGAGTTCGCTAGTTCTACTAGTTTTTGATGTTTTTTGGATTCCAGTGCGTCATAAGGTTCTCTAGGGCTAGCATATGCATTATCCAGAGAGTGTCTGGAGCATGAATCTGGACAGCCGTTTCTACAGACTTCAACTATACAGTGAACAAATACGTCAAGATTATCTGGAAACTTGAAAGCATAAAGGTGTGAATAAGCTATCAGGGTAGCTTTGGGTCCATAATCTCGGATTTTTGCAAACGGCGTGAGCAACGATGGTCTCAGAACACATCCGTTTTGATCGGTGAGCTGAACTTCAATCCCAGCCCCATCACTTGCAGAACACCTCTTTACACGCAGGTCGAATTCTCGGCTGTGGTCGTTGATGGCAATCACAAGAGTCAGAGGGCTGCCTATGGGCACTAAACCACCTACTTGACGAGCCCATGGTCCTTTGCCTTCCTGAACTTCCATCCAACAGTCGATATCGTCACCTTTAAAAAAAGAAGATATCTTATAATTTTACAATCTGATAATTTAAAACATTCAGGCACGTTCTGTATTTTAATTAATTATTTTATAATTAAGTAAAATATCTAAAACTAGACTAAACTCGGCCGCACAAACAGCCCTTAGAGAGCCATGGCTGGCAGTGCCCTGATACCTACTTTTTAGACCGTAGTCCCCGGGGGGTGCTTGTGCATATTGCCTGGACAAGTGGTCAGCTTATCGCAAGTGCTAAGGAAATCAGTTTTAACGAAAAAGTAAGTGAAATGGAACATTGAGGAAAAAGGAAAGTCTTGTAAACTTTTGTGAGTTAGAACTAACGGGAACAAATTATGAAAATATTTCATTTCTTAGAAACATTTGAAAAATTTTAAGCCTTTTTTTTCGTTGCCATTATTGTTAGAAATATTTTAAAAATTTCAAAGATACATAGAGGAAAAAACTAAAATGTTTTTATTTCCTTCCCTCTATCGATCGTAAAAGGTGAAAAATAAGGTGTATCAATGTATCAATTTTTTTAATCCACTTAGTATGGTAAGTATTATGAAACTACACTGGTGTAAGAAATTAAGAGAATTTTCATATTTGATCTACGATCTCCAGAACTACTGGACAGATTTTAATAAAATTAGTGTGAACATAGGTTGATATAATACAAACAAATAAACAATTCAGTTTAATAGACACACATTTCGTGTGTAACACTTATGGCAGTGAAAAATCTGAAACGCGGACAGTAGACACAAAAGAAAGGGTTAATAGGGGGTATGCCCCCTCTTCCAGCCCTACAGGCCTCACAGCATGTGTCACAGTGGAAATAAGCAGTTCTCAGTGCCTGTGGCATTGGTCCCACTCATCAGCGCTGTTTTGAGTTTTTCTGGAGGGTTCTCGGAGGGGGTTGCGGTTGCAATTGCCTCATAAGAGCGTCCCAGACATGCTGTAGGGTTAGGTCTGGAGACCTGGTTGGGCCCCGGCCATACCTGACTCCGAGCGACCATCCCTATGTGGCTCGCGTATCTCCTATAAGACGAACTCGGGGCCCACTGCACCCCGGAAAAGGCGAACATAGGGCTCCATGACCACACATCAGTCACAGAGCCTCCGTCAAAGACGTGGAGAGGTGTGCAGCCATCCAACATCCCAGCCTTCCAGACATTCAACACTCCATTACATAATTGTTGATTTCGCGGACATTTGAGCGTAGGTAGCGGGTCCCTGGCTCTGTCCATATGAAATTACGGCGATAATCGGTGTTTAGGCTAAAACGGGACTCGTAGTGAACAGAATCGTCGCCCATTGCTCCGTACTCAATCACTATCAGCCTGCAACATGTTAATCGGACTTTCCGGTCCGTAGATGTGAGCGGGACGCAAACAGCCGGTCTTCTGGCAAACAAACCCTCTCTCATTCAGTCTTTTGGAAACAGTCACCCTTGTTACACGGGTTCCTGTGGCTGAATACAGGTTCCGAGAGAGCTGAGAAGCTAAACGGACAAATAGCCATCTTCTCTGGCCGTAGGGGCTCTTGGACGACCTTGCCCAGGCTTTCTCTCGATGGATCCAGTATCCTCGAACTGTTTCCATAGTTTACACAAGACGCTGGACGTTAAATTAAACTTTCTGCGTATCTGGACTTGCGATTAACCTGCCTCAAGCCTCCCCACAATTCTCCACCTCATTCGATCACCGAAAAGTTGGTGGTTACTCATTTTTACGGTTCCTATGTGAATTTAATCGATTGCTGAAAGATAACACCAAGAAATTCGCCGAGGTGTGCTAGCGAACGCAATTCGTCTTACCCTCCACGCGCTTATAAAGCCTGTTTTTCCGCTGGCTCTGCCTACACGCACGTGTACGCTGACGTATTTCTTGTACAAGATTTGACTTTTTATCTAGAAGCAGTGGTTTTCCTTTTAGTTCAGTTCTTTTCATGCAATTCCATTAAATATGCAAATTCTCTTCATTTATTTCACCAGTGTAGAGAAAACGTACCTTGAAAATTGAGCTCAACAACATCGAGATCTGAAATGGCTAGTGAAGGCTTCGAAGATGGTTTTTCAAAAGATTCCAACCACTCGCATCGGAGTCTTTTCGCTTCGTCCCATGCCTCAAGGATGTCCTCGCCAAATTGAATCACGATGGTATTTTCATGGAACTGGCCTCTTAAATCCTCAACTGTTCCGCAACTGTCATACCTGGCGAAAAATAAAGAAATATCAGAGTATGATGGAACTTTTCGCGTACCTATTTTCTGCTATTAAATGCCTACTTACAAAATTTTTAATATTTATAAAGCACAAAATAAATAAATGAAGTTCTAACAAGATGGTTACCCCCATATAGAGGACATAATCGATTGATAAGCAAAGAAACATCTACGCATAGACCATCATTTAGTTTCAAAAGACTCCATTGAGGGCCTTAGATTTTAGGGCACTGCAGAATCATTCTTATAGAGTAAGACCCCGCTTAACGCTGTTTCGTTTAGCGCTGTTTCGGTTTAGCGCTCTTTTATTTCAACCCGGGATTCCGCGAAATCGCTCGCAGCCTACGGGGATTCCCCGAAATATTATGCAGCGATAAGTTTCAATACATATCCGAAAGAGTGTACTTGTATTCTTGTTTGGTGCGGTATTGTACAGACATTTTTGAAGGGGTAAATGTGAAGATGTCGAAGAAATATTCAAGAAGCAGGGCTAGTCTTTATAATGAGAGCTCAGGAATTAAACTGAACAGAAGAAAACAAAATGTTGACAGCAGTGATCAGAAGAAGAGCAAAAGAACTTTCGATGGCGTTGTGTAAAAAGGAGTTTGTCTACCATAACTGAAATAATGGATCAATTCATTGAAAATGCGATCCAATTTTGACAGGAGCTCAAAGTAAGGCGTGGTGTTAGAGATGCTCTATCCGTTTATGAAGAACTTTTAAGAGAACAACGCAAAAGAAAAAGGCAAAAAAACATTAGATGCTTTTGTCACAAAAAGGCAGAACACTGAAAACGCGGAAGGCTAACTAAATATGACTGACTTAATTTTTTATTTGTTTTTTTTAGAATATTCGTTTTTGTTATTTATATTTTTTTTTATTTTTGCAAGAAATAATAATGTGGTATTAATTTGGGCTTTAAGAAATAAATGTTTGGTTTTTTTTATTAAAAAAACATACTTTTAAATTTAATGCCTAACCAATTTCCTAGCCATCTTCCCCTAACCCCAATATTTACATGTAAAGATAGCCTCGTTTAGCGCTGTTTCGCATTACGCTCTACTTTGATGGAACGTATCCCCCGCGTTAAGCGTCTTACTGTAATTCCTAATAATCCTGTTTTACTTCATGGAAAAGGAGTGTAGGATTCCCCATTGTGTAATTCGAAGTTACTGTTGGAAGTGAAGAATCTTAAGAACTGATAAGCGAATAATCGCTTGAGTTCGTGTGACAGGTAACAACAAGATAGAAGGGTAAACTAACCCTTTAATATTCCAACTAAAGTTTAACAAAACTCCGTCTTGGAGTAGTACAATAAAGTCAACACTTGGGCTTGAACTAAAGAGACTAAGAATTAAACTAAAGTAATCTTAACTAAAGGGGGAGATATAGCCGAAGCAATCAAAATTCTAACAGAGTTGGCCCCTTAACGCTAATTGACTGCGAAACTATCAAAGGCCTAGAGTAAGGCCGAGCGTAATAATAGCTTACGAGCGAGTAGCCTAAAAAGGCGGACGCGTGCAGCCAGAATATCTGGTGTCTCTCTCGCTAAGACTGTAGAACTTCGCGGTTATATACCGCTCTTCTTCATTAACATTCAGACGTGATTCTAAAACTACGTTCTGGCCGGAAGTGGTAAGTTGAAGAAGTGAGAATCGATAGGAAAGGAAGTTTAACTCAAAATTTAAGTGTTCATAAAATTAACATAATCCTTACAGGAGAAAACAGACTTTGTCAATTTCCTGAGGGAATTCTTTATCCATAATTGTCTCAATCCAGTTCTAATCAACAGATATGCTGCGAAAGTAAAAGAATACGGCTGTTGGATTAAAATATCACCAAAAGTATTTCGTGGGACTGGTTTGATTATACGACAGAATCTTCATTTTTGTTTGTAAGCAAAAGTGGTTTTCTTCCCCCCCAATTACTTTTCAAGGAACGAAATGTTTTATCTCGCAATAGCAAAGTTGCAATATTCCCCCCCCCCACCCCTAAGATCGAATTCGTTGCTTAACATTCGTTAGGGAAAGGCCGAGTGCCCTTAGGGAAAAAGGCCGAGTGCCCTTAGGCCTAAGGGCCGAGTGCCTTAATCTCGCTGGAAAAAAAGAAAACTCTGACCCAGTTTTGATGGACTGGGGTAATAGACCTGACAATCTTCAAAATCTTCTTCCTCTACCAGCAACCTCTCGAGAAGATATTCAGCTCTATAGCGTTTTAGTGCCACAAAGACAGCCGGCTTTTCACCATCATGGTAACAGGGCTGCCCGTTGAGATATTATGACCGCTTATTTTTAAAATTAGGTTTGAATGAAAAAATATTTATTTTTTGTTCAACTTATTATTGACGACACTCAGAAATTTGCTTCATTACTAGAGCTTCTTATTCATACATTATCAGTGCCATAGAGTACGATTTATAACTTTTTGAAAGATTTTGGTTTCATGTATCAATCTAATCCTCTTATCAGATAGAAAGAATTGTAAGAATTGGAGGCTTCCTTCAGCCCACCTGGACACGAGTGCCCCCATAGCTCAAAAGAAGGGGCCCCGTATCTCCACAAACGAGGGCAGCCAGTAACACAGCCACCCTCGAACAACAAACAAAAATACCAAATCAAAAATAAGTAAGCACATCTCACAAATTACAGACTACACAAAAACAAAAAGAAATCCGTAAACACAAATTCACAACATAGAAACCATATATCCAAAAATCCATATAAATACAAAATTCAATTTTAAACAAGATTCCTACTAGCGCCCTATTTCGTTCATAAACTCATTAGAGCATAGAATATGATTTTAAAACTTTAAAAAATAATGAACCCTTACATAAAATCAGTAATATGAAAATCTGTCTAATAGGGGCTGTTAAACTACAATCAACCACGAAATGCTAGCATCACCATCCAACCTGACAACTGTTACATAATTTATTTCCTCGGTTGAAATAAACGGAAACCATGCCAGTTAAAACCTATTAACGTCAATGTTATACATTTCATCTTATGTGATTTTAATTAGTTCCATAAATCCTTTGTTTGAACACTTTTTTTTTTTTTTTCTTCAATAACTTCTTGTTGCTTGAATACCATTGCCTGCTTGGACCGGCTGCGGCCCTCTCATTAACAATAAAGCCTATATGGGCTTTGACGAATGTACTAATTTAAATATGAAAGTAAAAATTCTAAATGACTCTTAATTTTGACAATCATGAAAGTGTCTGGGCGGGAGAGCGCATGAGAAGTGGCAAACAGTCAGTGTAAATATTTACAGAAAGAGAGTAGCTAGGGTTTTTAGGCCCAGGGACAACGAAGATTTCTGCCCCCTACTGCTTGCCAAGATGGAAAAGCATTTATTCAAAATGTCATAACATCAATTTGGCGTCCCTGGATCGCGCCGGGACAGATGCCCCCCTTGCCCCTTCTAGCTACGCCCCTGTTACAGACGTAAGTATAAACAAGGTATTTTTAATCCATCATAAGGCTTGTTTGAACGCTTCACTTTTTGCTAGGAAAACTGAATTATATGTATTCAACTTAAACATTCTACAATCCACCTCAATTCCATACGAAAAAACAGCAAAAATCAACAAAGAACAACAGAAAAACAGCAAAGATCTTATTAGATAGTATCTGATATAAAATATCTCCATACTTAGGAAAACTTTCAAGCAGTGATTTCTTCTTTATGTGATAGAATCTTACGCTTTTATTAAATGCTAAACTTTTACTGTTGATAAATTTATGGGAGATGCATTAATTTATATTTCAGTAAAGTCAATACATAGACATTAAATGCATGCTTCTAATGCTTATATATTTATAAGTGATGCACTAATTGCCTTTTTATGTCTTCAAAGTATTTCATCCCCCCCCTTTTTTGCATTCTACGCTGAACTATATTTGAAATTTATCTATATTTTTATGGCAAAATGAATACCTTCCCCCCCCCCCCCCCCATGAAAGTATTCATTTTTGCAGCCTTTTAAGGAATCGTTAATCGTTTAAGTAGTATACTTGTGCTGCCATCTATCGAGAGATGTTTTAACTGGTGCAGGGGAATACAGTAATTTTTCTCAATTTTTTTTTTTTTAGTTTGTGTACCCCGGTAAAGATTGAAATTAAAGGTATCACCAAAAATTTAAGTATTCGTAGAATTGACTAAAGAATTAAAGATGCGAATTTTAATTACTTGAAAGGGAAAAGATATATCCTTAATAAAAAGTAGTTGAAGTATATATATATTGCTAATCGTTATGAATAAATATAACATAAAATATAGTTTAATGTAGAAAGCGTCTATAAATTTTCGAAATTATTTTCAGGCATTCTTCATAAAGTAAAGAAACCGTAGTTCCGATTATAATTTTTCTGAACAAAATTTGAATGAAATTAAAAGGTACGACCGGTTAAATGTTTTTGGGTTTTAAAAAAAGAAGTGGTTGATTATTTTGATACCAAATTATAATGGCTGCTTGTCGTACAGGAGTTTTTTCTTCTTCTTTTTTTTAAATCTTAATTCCTTGGATTGGATTTATTTAGATTAGTGCCTTTCCATTAAAATAGCATAATATGCGAAACTCCTCGTCTAAATTTTCAGACGATCATTGCTCAAAGTCTTCAGAATTCCTACACGAATGATGTTGCTCCATAACACGAGCATAATCACAGGCATAATGTTATCGCTGATTTCCTTCTGTAAAATGTTCTGAACGTATAACGGTTCTCTGTTCAGAAACCATTTCGTTGGAGAATTAATTTGTTCTTTTAGAGCTCTGATTTTATGAAGAACTATAAATAAGGCTAAAATTTTGACCTACAAATCTACATTTAGCTTGTTTAATTGTGAGATGATATCAATTGAGAAATATAGTCTGGGCAACTATTATTCATCTACCAATATATTAGTAAACTTGCCTGCTTCCAAAAAAAAAAAAAAAATACTTAATGTCTCTACAGTGTCGCCCGAACTAAAAGGGTGTTGGAT